CCCCGCTCGCCAGCTGCCGGCGCGCTGCCCGGGAGGGAGAGGCGGCCTTGCCAGGTCCCACGGGGCCACTACAGAGCGTGGAGCGGGGGTGTCTGCGGCTGCGAGAGGGAAACTGCCAAAGAGCCTCTACACACAGCTGCTGCGACAGTGGGGGGTGTGTTTACGTGCGCGGTGTGACGGGGCTGGAGGGGGTGTGTGGCACTGTGATCGTGTGTCCGCCACGGGGCCGGCAACTTTATTAAGAGCTGATACCAAAGGTGTGAGGGCCGCGGAAAGGTCTCTGTGACAGTGACACGGCTGTCCGGCTCTTGCACAGCTGACACGAGGGGTGTGTATAAAGGACCCTCCAGACACCCAAGGACACAAGGGTGTGTGGGCGATGACTGCTTTGGGGGCGGGGAGGGAGCAGGTGTGGAGTGGATGTGCCTGTGAGAGAGAGACAGCCTGCTTGCGGAACAGCTCCCTGCTGGCAGACTAGGGATTTAGGTGTGTGCATGGGGGATGGGCACAAGGTATGTGACAGTCTGGGAGACAGGCCACCAGCACAAAGTGGGGGTTGGGAGAAAGGTGGTCTGCAAGGGGGTATCAAGTAAGTGACAGTTTCTCCACGTGGCCGACACAGCAGTGGGGTTTTCAGTGAGGGTTTATTAGGTGGGATTGATTGGTAGCTGGTGTTGGTGGAGAAGTGCTCAGGCATGAAGTGTGGGTGCGTGTGTACCTGCTGGTGTGTAAGAGCCTTCAGTAAACCCACTTCCAGTGGGCACACCAGAGTCTAACGTACATACGTGTGGAGGATCGCGCACGGGCCGCTGGCTGTAAGCACTTCCCACACAGGTAACCTGTGGACACCTTGTGTGCATGCGTGTGTGAGTGAAGGGGAGACTTGGAAAGGGGTTTCTCCCCAAGGGAGGAGCTATCTTTGCCTGATGGTGGTCGTGAGATGGGTCATTGCATTGGGGCCAAGATGATAGAATCCCACAGAAAACAGCTGGGAGGGGAGAGGGGCTGCAGGCTCTGGGAAGGCTCTGCCTCAGGAAGGTGCATTTTTCTCTGCTCTCAGTCCTGGGATGGGTCAGGGCCTGTGTGGTGTGCACCAAAAAAACGACCATTGGTGTTTACCTCAGACAGTCACACACCCCTGCCTCTCTCCCTGCACACCTTCAACCCCCTTTGGGAGAAACGTTGATTTGCCTGCTACCTCTGTGTGACAGTCACACAAGCACTGACCAGCAGCGTCTGCCGGGATCCGTGCCCAGCTGTAGCTGCTACTGCCCGTACATGATGAGCCTCAGGTTACTGTGGGCAGCTTTGCTCCCATCTACTTTCTCCCTCCTCCCTCCTGCACACACGCATCATGACGCAAGTTATTACCCTGTGCTTGGGTGGCCTGTGTGTGTCTAGCAGTGTGTCTCTTTCTTACACACATCTGTGTGGACAACCTACAAGAACCCGTGTGCGTTGTTTCGCAGACGCATGCAGACACACGGGAGTGGAAGTGTGCGAATGGTAGGTGACATGCCAGACAGTTTCTGTTGTAGCTGACACTCATGGGTGTGGGGGCTGGTGACAGATGCTGCCCGGCAGCTCCTGTGTTGATGTCTGGCAGGGACTTGGGGAGATCTGGACTTCAAAGCTGCTGATTAGGGGAGGGGTGGGGGTGTAGCTGACGGTGGCACTCAGAAGAGGCTGTCTGGATCAGGAGCAGATTGCAGGAGGATCAAACACAGGGATTACCGGAACCTTGTTTTTCATTCCCCAAGATATAAGCATGCTTCATTTGCCTATTTTCTCTATTTTGGGTTACAGTTTCAATTCTTTAAGGTTCATCCCTGAGTCCTTTTCATGTGTCTTGTTTTTCACTCCCTTCTCTATTTCCAATGATGTTGTAACAAAATTATAGATGCTAGAGAAAAAAAAAGGAAGAAAATCAATCACATAGAACATAATTCTGAAATTTTAAATCCGGGGAGAGGGGTCTCAATTCAGACATATTAATTATTAAGTACAAAAGTGACTGTACACAGTGGCTGGGTCTCAGCTATTATTCTGGTGGGCAAGTTTGAAAATAAGTAATCTCTTGTAATTGCCTAAATAATTACCCATTGCCAAGGCTTTTGAAAATATCAAGGTCTATATAAAGAAAAAGTCATCATCGTAGGGAGAGATAACTTCAAAAAAATGGAACTGCTTACTGGAGGAGGAATGTAACACCAAGCGAATGCCAGGTTCCTTTGCCACATAGCTTTCAGGAGGTTTTTAAGACTGTGGGGAAAGGGGGAGGTGTGAGAGGGAGACTGCGCCTCACCCCCCTGTCAGTGGAGGAGAGGCTCAGAGGATGGAGGGGCTTGCCCACCTCCTGGAAATGCGGTTGACCCCTGAGGTCACCGGCTCCAGGTCCTCAGCACAGAGAGCTTCTCTGACTGGTGGACAGGACCCCCGGCTGGCTTGCCTTCAGCAGGCACGGGCAGGTTTCAGGAGATCCAAACTGTTTAGGGAGTGGGGCCAGGACTTCTCTCCTACCAGCTCTGAGAGAAAGTTCTATGTTTGATCCTTTAGTACTTTTGTAGAAGATGGAATTCCAAGAAGTCAGTTTGTTCTTTTCCAAAAAGGCAGGACCAGTGTCTCCTCCGAATACCTGCTGGAGGCTAGCGCGTATGAAGTTCCTCACCTCATGCCTTCTCGAAGGTGGTCTGCTCAGGGACCCTGGAGCCTGTGACTTTTTAGTTTTTAATTTTCACAAGCATTTCTCATCCACTGACTTCGTTCCTGCCTGAACTTTTCTCAGATCACTTTCTCATATTCCGTTCCCCCAATGCTACGTAAGGAATTCTGTACTTGCAAAGTTGGGCTGTCCTGCAGCTGGCATTTTATATAAAACTTGGCTTCCATTTTCCAAAAAATGGTCATTTCTCTGAGGGCAAAAGCTATCATGTGTCTTCCTCTTGCCAGGGAGGGCCTGGCATAATATATGGCACAGGATAGACCACTTTTTGCGCAACTAAAAATCTAATTCAGGTTTTCCCTCCAATAAGAGTACAGCCTAAAACTGAAGTTTGATTCTAACTGGCGTCCTATCTGATTGGCAGTGTTGAGTGATTCTGACTGATTTTTCAAAAATTAGAAAATAACTGTAAGTGAGATTTTTCCAGAGTCCATACAGAAATATAAATAAAGGGGGTCCTTGATAGTGAAGATAGAGGGGGATGCTTGACTGACTCTAGGTTTTTTGCAGGAGGAGAGAAGCGTCCTGACTCTGAGCTGAGCTGTGGTTGGGGTTTGCGGGGGGACCCTGAGCCGCGGGCACTCTGGGAGGAATGTAAAGCCTTTAGTCTTCAACCCCGACTTCTTTCCTTGGCGCACATGAAACACTGGCTCTATCTGGGACGTTCTCTTCTTTCATGTGTCCTTGGAGGGAGGGTCCCCAGCCTCACAAGCAGTCTTTCTTTGCAGAGCATCTCTAAGCCCTTTTTGTGAGAGAAACCAACTAATTGCAGATCCTCTATTAACTGAGCTATTTGACCTTATTATCAGGAGGCCTCAGTTATTTCATCTGTAAAACAAGAGGGTTCAATCAGATTGTTTATTCATTCATTTGTTCACTTACTCAAACATTCATCAAGACCTTATATTCAGAGGCGGCGAGAGCACTGGAATGAGAAAGTTGAACAGACACTCGAGACACCCAGGTGATCGCTGTGTGGTCAGGAAACATGTTGCAAGTCGGTGAGGAAAGTGCAGCCACACTGACTTGTGCAAAAGGCTACGGTAACACGGACGCCTGACGCCTCGCCCCCGTCAGAAGCTGCCTCAGAGGCTCCGACAGCTCCATCTCCGGAGGCAGGCTAGGATGAGGCAGGTGGGGGGAGGTGGTACAGCCATTCCCAGCTTCTGAGTCAGTGCTTTTGAGGCTCTGCTGCGTGCCGCGCTCCACCCGTTTGTCCCAGGGTTTCCTTTGAAGCCACCTCGAGTAACTCCAACCTTTGTTCTTCACATCACCCTTTCATTTTGTTACATTTGAGGATACTGACCATGGTCTCTCTCAAGTGTTCTCTTTTCCAGGCCAAGAACATCCATTTCTCTGTTCTTTACACTGGACAATACTGCGGACATTTGCAGGACTCTGCAGCCTGCTCCTGTGGCGTGGTTTATACACACTGTGTGGTGCTTGCTCCTTTGCTGGCCCTGCTCTGTGAGGCTGAGGAGTTTTTGTCCTTGCTTTACAGATGAGGACACTTGGCTGCAGCTGGTGAAGTAGCTTACCCAGAGCCGCTCAGCTATGGAAGCAAACTGCTTTCCTGGCACCAAGTTCTCGCTATGACGCCATCCTTCTTGTTTGACTTCAGTGCCTGCTTATCCTCTTCTGCACACTTTTCTTTTTTAAGACTTATTTATTTATGCATACAAGAACTGGGTTACAGGCCAGAGGTACGGGGGATTCACCAGAGACAGAGCGGGGAGCAGAACAGGCAGCTGGACTGAAACACATTGCTGAGGGGAGCAGCGGGAGGGACAGGAGAGGTCCACCGCGCCCTGTGGTCACCTCCCTGGCTGGGGATCGAACTCGTGCTGCAGTGGCGGCCAATAGCTCCACAGTGCTGTGCTTTAACCTGTTGCGCCCCCAGGGAGGGGCCTCTTCTGCACACTTCTGAATCACGAAGGTCCTTTGTCCCCAAGCCCAGATGCTTCCCTGGCACTGGGCGTCACAGCGGTGCTGGCGGCCCACCGGCACAGAGCGTGTGGTCTCTCGTACCTCCCAGACGCTCCACAAGCTGTTTCCAGGAGAATGGTCTGGAATGCTTATTTTTTTAGTGGTCCATCCTGTGCTCGGTGATGCCGAGCTCGTGAGCCACTGTCTCGTGAGGTTGTAAGGATGAGAGTTCAGATAACACTTGCAAAGCACATGCACCTCTAGTGTTGGCTTTTATGGTTACTGTGAGCTTCTCGAAGAATTCCCATGAACTTCTGTCAAGCCGGGTCAGAGTGTCACCAGGGGGAGTGTAGGACATTACTCCCGATGTTACCTTTCTCCTGCATCACTGAATGTTAACCATGGGAAGGAGTTTGGAGGTCATCTCATCCACCTTCCCCACTTTCTAGATGAGGAAACTAAGACCCAGCGGTTTTAAACAACTGTGCAGCAGACATACAGCAACTCGGAACACAAGTGTAAATAAGTTAGTATAAAATTGTAGAAACTGGTCAGTAGAGCTGTACTCTATTCTTAGTGAAATAGCGTGGGGGGTGTTCTTTGAAGTGTTGCTCTTGTTCATTTATTTCTATGTTTAGATAAGTCAGACGAGAAGGAGCCAGGGTTCCAGCCAGCGTGTCACTGCAGCATGGATACGCCTAGGCTGTCCAGGATATCGCTGAAACACTCATCCCCTTCTTAATGTACTTTGAGGAAAAGTCCAGCCCAGGCTAGAAGCCTGACGACCATGTAGCTAGGTCCTTAAAAGCAGGGCCCCCCGCTTCTTTGCATCTGTGCTCCCAAACCTAGCACAGGTTTGCAAAGGTTTCTAACAAATGCCCTGTGGATGCTGAGTCAGTTGGTTCTTGGGGCTCCCCGAGAACCCCTTGCCCCTGGGATAGGGAGCGAAGCCTTTTTGAGCCCACGCCAGTCTGCCCCGGCCTCCCCTAACGGCTGCCTTTCGTCTGCAGGCGCATCCCTGGGCGCGCGTGCGGCTGCGCCAGACGAGCCTGGCCCGGAGGGCCTGACCTCTACCTCGCTGTTGGACCTCCTGCTACCGACCGGCCTGGAGCCGCTGGACTCGGAGGAGCCCAGTGAGGCCATGGGCCTGGGAGCCGGCCTGGGGGCCCCCGGCTCAGGCTTCCCCAGCGAGGAGAGCGAGGAGTCCCGCATTCTGCAGCCCCCGCAGTACTTCTGGGAAGAGGAGGAGGAGCTGAATGACTCCAGCCTGGACCTGGGGCCCACTGCAGGTAGCATTCTCACCCAAGGGTGTGTGCGGATTGCCTCTGAGCGTGAGCAGGCTGGGCGAGGGCCAGATAACCATCCCCTTGCCCGCTGTCTCTGCACTTCAAAGCCAACTCTCTGGGTCTCTGGGTGCTATCAGCACAGAAGTCCCTTCTCTACTATTCAGCACTCTTCAGTGAGCTGTGAGCTGTGGTCTGTGCTTGTATCATTCAAGCAATGCTTATAGCCTATGAGATAAGTAAATTACAGAGAAGTGCAAAGCTTGCTGTTTAGATGTTCAGTCATGATTCAGGCGAAGGTCTTCATGGATCTGGGATTTCACGTGTGCCCACTTCCTGTGGTGCAAGCTTCTCTCTAGTGACAACGGAATGATTAGATTGTCTGCAACTTTAGCGCTGTGACAATGTTTTTAGGCTGTGGTACTTTCTGACTGTCTCCTCAGGGTAACTTGCCAGAATCGAACTCATGCGGAAGTGGTTTTAGCTTCTCAGTGCTGTGCTTTAACCCGCTGTGCCACCAGGGAGGGCTTCTTTTACCTTTTTATCTTTGTTTTCCTTCTTTTTAATTCTAGCTGTAATTTACTTTAGGGTGTGGTAAAAAATAGAGATCAAATTCATTTTCTCCGTGTAGATAATCTTTACTTTGTACCAAACAGTTATATGCCCTTAGGCTTAGCGGACTTTTCCTTCTGTTCAGACTGCTGGATATAAGTAGTCACTCAGAGAGCCTCCGTGGAAAGATGGCTGTGCACCTAGGGTTTCCTGAGGGCCTGGGCGTCCTTGCGCTGGATTAGCTCAGATTTGCCCTGCTCCCTTCTTTTCACTTTTTTTTTTAAAGATTTATTTATTTATGCATACAGAACTGGGGTACAGGCCAGAGGTGCAGAACAGGCAAGATGGGTGAGTACACTGCTGAGGGGAGCAGCCAGTGGGTCAGGAGAGGTCTGCCATGCCTTGTGGGTCACCTCCGGGGCAGGGATCAAACTCATGTTGAAGCAGCTTTAGCTTCTTAGTGCTGTGCTTCAACCTGCTGCGCCACCAGGGAGGGCCCTCTTTTCACTTACTTAATCTCTCTTCTTTTCCCACCAGTCCCTTAAGAGTAAAAATAACTGCCATTCATGAACACAAGCTGAATAATGGCTCTTTGCACACATTCTTCTCCTTACCCCAGCTCCACTTATTTTATCTCAGAGTAAGACCATGGAAATGATACATAGAAGCTCTTTTCATCTTTCCAGTATGACTCTGTGACATCACAGGGGAAACATGGCCCCAACAAGGTAGTGGGTGGAGTGTGGGTACCGCTGCACCAGCTAGCACCAGCACCCTCATCTCACAAAACTGTCACCCAGGTCCTTCTCATCCCAAACTGGCCCTGTGGTCACCCCTCACCCCTTTCCTTTCCCAACACCTGTAATAAATGACCTCTGTTTGCAGTTTTAAGTTTCTTGGTGAATGAACTACAAGAAAAAAGAGAACCCTTTGGAGACAGCAAATTCTAGAAACCTGAGTCAGGCTCCCCGACCTGTGGAAAGCGGGGAGTTTACTGGGCCAGTAGGTTTCTAGAGCCAGCCAGGTGGGGCTCAGGCCTGAAACACTGTGAGAACTGCCTTGCTTCCTGGAGCTCCACCACTTCCTTGGCTTCACTCGTAGGCAGGCTGTTCCTGTGCGGCAGCTCAGAAAACCCCCACTAGGTCCAGCTCCATCCTCCATGCCTGAGGCAACCCAGCAGAGGCAGAACTCTGCTTTCCCAGGGCTCCAGGAAAGTCTGCAGAGTAGCGCAGGAGTCTGGTCTGGGACTTGAGCACACCGCAAAAACCAGTCTTAAAGCCCTAGGGGCAGAGGCTTCAATTGGCCAAGACGTGGGTCTTGAGGGCCCCCTGAAGCCAGAGGGAAAGGCTCCACATTCCTGGTCCCAGAGGAGCCAAGAGGTGCCCCGCAAAAGAGAAGTGAGTTGCCTTTAATAGAAAGAGGGGAATGAAATGACGGTTGGGCATAAACCACATTGCACTTAAGTAAAGAACAGCCATGAAGTGCTTACACTTCAGGCATCATTTTCATATAATTTCTAAAAACTTCATTGCCACCTAATGAAATCTGTAAAAAGCAGCCATTTCCTAGTATTGCTGCTTTATAGCTAAAGAAATTGGCTTAGGGAGATTTAAAAATGGCACTTAATATTCAGTTAATAAGTGGCAGAGCTAAGTCTCAAATTTGGGATTTCTACTCTAAGATCTGTACCTGCGCCACAGGAAGTCACTTACTGCACTACCGCGGTTACTGTTCTGAGTTCTGCAGAACCATCACCCAGCTGCCTGCTAGTATCTGGACACGCTTCTGCGCCCTTGTAGACAGGGTCTGCTGCCAAATGAGTTGAGCTCTAGGTTACTGTACACACCAACATGGCTACCGAGAGGAGGACCAGCTGCCGGAAGCACTCACCTTCGCACCAAAAAGGGAAGGAAGAAAAAGCCCTGTGCTTTGCTTTATGCTAGTAATTATCATCATGTGAGGATTAGAAAATGCAGATACATTAAAAGAAGAAAATAAAACCAGTTCCCAGCCCCATCAGCCAGGTACACTGTTAACAAATGTTAACCTTTTAGCATGTATCTTTCTGGACTTTCTTCCTACTGGGGAAATACATAAAACACGCGGACAGGCTCCCGTTTCTTCAGTGGGTCCCTTGTGCTGTGAGAGCCCAATTGTGTCTGGCCCTTGTAAGGTGGCCTGCCCCGGGAGGGCAGTCCTCAAAGCCCAGCTGTTGTGAGCGTTTCTGAAACTGCAGCTCCAGAACGTCTTCAGAGCTTTTCGTTCATACGCTCGGTAGCCCCACAAGAGTCCTGAGTCCATTCCTCTCAGCAGTCTTGTCTAATACTAGCCAGTGATCGCCAAGAATAGACATGTATCAGGTTAGTAGTCCACAAACATTGTCATCGTTTAATTTACATCCTGAGGTTGATCATTCGGTAGTTTTTCGTCACGCTGAGGAGAGGTTCTCCCCTTGCAGCTCTGTTTCATACAAATAATTTTGAATTATGTGTCTTTTCATTAATACTTGGTTGAATAACTGGCTTCAGAGTTGCACTCAAGGGACAATTTCCAGTGATTTGACATTAACCTAAAGGGACATCTAAAGTGATCTTTCAAGGCCACTGGCCCTGATGCCCATTTTAATTTCCACGTTTTAAGCAGAAGAATCAGTTCATTAATATTTCAGTGGCTGCTGAAGGTCATTCATAAAATCGTGGCCACCCTGGGAGAGATAAAGTCCAGGGTGAGCTTGATGCACTGGGGAAAGCTCCCCAGTACTGTGATGAAATATGGACGAGTGTGCAGTGCTATGTTCAGGAAGCAAAAGCTAGCACCTTAGCTATCGACTAAGGGCGATAGAGGCCTCGGGAGCCTAAGTTGTCCAAACCCAAGGGCTTCATCACAGTGACCTCTGCTGCCTCCACGCCGTCACGTCGTGCAAGGAGGACACAGTTCAACGCTGTGATGAAGTCAAATGACATCCCTGGAATCAAGAAGTCTGACTTTACAGGTCACCTCAGTTGGCCTCGAGTTTGTGACTTTTGTTCAATTCAGCCATTATTATGTACCTACTATGTTGATTTTGTAACCATTCTTAGAAATATGGCATATCCAAAGTTTTCCAAAGAAAATGCCAATGGGAAGGGTCAAAAATAAAGGGTAATCACACTTTTGTAACCCCAGGTAAAGAAGGCTAAATTAGAAAAACAAAGAGAAAGTGTGGGTTTTTTTTCCTGGGGAGGAGGTGTCTCGGGTGTTCCTTACCTAGCCAGTCTGGTTGAGTTAAGGAAATTGGTGTCGGGGAGGGGGTTAACATTACGGACATGCCTCTCTGTAAAGAGGCTAAGACATGTTCTGGAAGCACGTTGCTAGCACAGCTTTCCTACCTCCCAGACATCTAACCATCTAGGTCCCACTGGCTGTTAGGACACTTGGCTCCCCAGAATCCCATTACAGCCACACACGATCCTGACTCCCTCCCCTGCCCCCTCGTCCCACTCCGAGTGCTATGGAGTGACTTTAAGAGATAGTGTTGGGGAGAAAAGTACATTCTGGAGGCCAGGTATTTTGCATTTTTCATGTCATTTCATCTTAGTCTTGTGCCAGAGGGACGGGTGTGCCCAGCCTTGCCAAGGCAAGGGCTGGGTAGGGGAAGGGAGGGAGCCAGAATTCCAACCCCTGTCAACTCTTTGAGCTCTGAATGTGTCAACTAGTCTGGTGATTCAAGTTCCACTTTAAAGCAAACTGGTTGTGACCAGAGTGCAGATGGACAGGGAGAGGTAATGCTATTCCTGTCACCTCGCTCCGTTCCGGTCCTCCAGAGCCAAGTCCTGACTGGATCCGCCAGGAAATATCTTGGAAAAGTGGGGATCCGGGATCCCTTACAGCTTTACAGTATGACTAGTCCAGTGCCGCAGTTTAGAGCAATTATCCTCCCGTCTGGGTTTTTGTGAAAGCCAGACCAAGGGTCCTAGATCACAAACATCCCAGAGTTCAATCCGGAGACCTGTCTTTCCCAAGCATTCTAGGGAGGATGAGTTTTGTGTTAAGGCCTCCAGGGCACTGAGCAACCTTACAGCAAAGAAGAGTTACCGAGCCGGGTGGGCACTGGCCAAGAGCTTGTCTTTGTCCCTTGAGACCTTGGTATGTCACAAGCAGAAAGGCCATTTATTTTACAGAGTCTCCTCAAGTTTGGTTTGCTCGTGTTCCCCTGTGGTTCGATTCAGGCTCTGCCTTTGGGGTACAGTATCACAGAAGGGCTGAAATCCCTAGATGAGGAAACCCAAGCCCTTATACAAGCACTAGAGAGGAGATGCGCCGTACTTAGCCAAGCTATCTTGAGGGGTGCGCTCAGCAAACCTTCACTTTACTCCAGATGTCCCGTGCAAGTGGACTTTTAGTTGCAAATCTTTACATTTTTATTATAAAGGAAAGACAGCCAGCCTGGCCTTGCTTCCCTGCAGTCTCATTCCTTCCTCTTACGCAGCCTGCCCCCCACCTTTTCCAACATGACAGTGGTCCAGGCCCCCACTGTGCCCGTGAGAGCCTTTGCTTGTTGGTATCATCTGCACAGCAAATACTGGTCAGGTGAGTACATGATGAAATGAGTGAATGAACTGTCCATCTCTGTTCTTAGACTACGTTTTTCCAGACTTAACTGAGAAGGCAGGTCCCATCGAAGACACCAGCCAGGGCCAAGAGGTGCCAAGCCTGCCCTCTCCCTTGCCCAAGATGAATCTGGTAGAGCCACCCTGGCACATGGCTCCTGAAGATGAGGAAGAAGAGGAGGAAGAGGAGGAGGAGGAAGAGGAGCGGGAGAAAGAGGAGGGAGAGGAGGAGGAGGAAGAGGAGGAGGAGGAAGAGGAGCTGCTACCTGTGAATGAATCCCACGAGGAAACCCAAACTGAGGCTCACGACTTCTCTTCCACCAGCAGCAGCCAGACCCCAGGGACCCCCAGACAAAGGCATGAAGATTCTGGGGACCCGGCCTCCTCTGGCGTGGAGGTGGGAAGCAGCATGGAGCCGAGCCTGTCACCGCCCTCAGTCACCCCAAGTACAGTGACCCCGGGAGGGCAGGACTTCACCAGCCAGGAGGCAGGGGCCACAGTGCTGCCGGCTGCAGGGCACGGGGTAGAGTTTGAGGCCCCTCAGGAGGCGAGTGAAGAGGTCACTGTGGGAGCAGCCGGGTTGGCTGGCAAGCAAGGGGAGGGGCCGTCCTTGGCTGCATTCCCTCACACTGAGGCTCCCAGTGGGGCTGAGACCCCAGATGAAGACCCCCTTTATCCTGGAGCTTCAGCCTCTCTCCCACTAGCCCCCCGAGACGTGGACCTGACGCCCTCCTCGGCTACTGTGGGGCAAGAAGACCTCAGCCAGCAGTCCCGGGAAGGGCAGGCCGCTGAAGCTCAGTCCAGAATACCCTGGGATTCTACTCAGGTAAGGTACCAGTGCGTGCGGCCACTGCCACCGGAGGCTGCAGGAGCGGAGCGCCTGCCTGCGCAGCCCACCGCTCCTGCAGCTCCCTGGCCGCCGGCAGCAGCGCTCTGCCCGCACTTACAAGCAAGTCAAAAGCCCTGAGAGCAGCGTGCGGCGTGTGGTTTCCAGAGAGCACGTAACTGTGACCTGGGCTCCTCCCGTCGCCACGCCCCTACCATCAGCTCTCCTCTTCACCTCCCCCACCCAGCACACATGTGCCCACAGACGACGCCCAAGCCAGCGCTCACATTCACCTGCACCGCGAGGAAAGGAAAGGGGGCCCCAGTCGGTGCCTGCCTCTGCCCATAGAACATTCTGTACAAGTCTGCCCCTGAACACCTGCAGCCGGACAAGCCCTCTGCAGTCTGGCCCCTCGCACACCCCCTTCTTCCCGTGCGTCGCCTCTGGTCTCCTCCTCTCCCCCAGACACCCTCTGCTTGGTCCCTGACACCTTGGGCTGGATCCCTGGCGCGCCGCTGTGCAGAGGCTGGCAGCTCGGCCTGCCTGGGCCTCACCGGCTGCCCGCCAGAGCTGCCGTGCTGGCCCCGCCCCTGTAACGCTAGCTTCCTTTGTCCGCGGCACAGGTCATCTGCAAAGACTGGAGCAACCTGGCGGGGAAAAACTACATCATTCTGAACATGACGGAGAACATAGACTGTGTGAGTGCTGTGAGGGGCTGGGAGGCCCGGGGCGCGGGCAGTCCACGTGGCAGATGAGCCTTAGGCCAGAGGGCACGGCCTCGCCAGGGAGGGCAGAATGCCATTCTCATTTCTCTGTTTCTAGGGGCTCTTTCGTTCTTGCTCCCCACTGTTTTTAATTTAAAAGAATTGTGTTCCTGTGTGCAGAATCTTGCCCCTGAGGATTCAGGTATGGGTTTTTAAGAAGCTGTTTTCTCCCTTCTTTCTCCCTGTGCAGCTGGCCTCCCCGCCAGTCAGCCCATGCCGTTTCGCCCGTGCACCCCTCCACTGTCTGTGGGTGCTCCTCTGAGCTGTTAGGGAGGCCATCAGGACCCTGCTGGAGGCTCTGAGCTCGGCGGGGCATGTTGCTGGTGGCTTCCCAGGAGGGCCTGGGTGAGGATGTCCTCGTCCTCAGGTTCTCTCCCCGGCGATTAGACTCTTAAGAGGGCACTTCTGCCCTCTGGGAGTAAAGGCCACTGCCAGCACTCCAGGCTCGGAGGTGGGGAGTCGCTGGGTCTGAAAACCTGCTCCGAGGTGTCCCCTGGTCATTTGCCCACGAGCCCTCCCACGCTTCTTCTGTGTCCCCGAGGTCAGAGACCCTCTCCTTTGCCTCTGAAGAATAAGCTTCTGTCTTCTGCTGGGAGAAGGGACAGTCGTCGGCTGTGCAGGCTTGGCGAAGCTGTGCACCCAGCTGCTCCCTGGACACACTTTCAGAAAGCTTTCCTACTGTTAGGAACTTTCTCACCTCTCTTCCAAGGTAACCAGCACTGCTGCTTCCGGAGCGTTTGGGAGCTCGGCCTGTGAGTCTGTGCTTCTTAGCCTCCCTGTTTTGGCTCAGGTCTCTTCTCTTTCGGGCTGGCGAAGGGGAGAAAATCGGACTCCTCCATCTGCTTCCAGTGTGCACATTTTGTTACTTTTATCTCCTCTTCTGCTTTGTTTTGTTCGTCTCTGGCTTCGGATCTTGAAAAAGTTCTGTACTTATGTTTGGTGGATCTGAGGGAAATGTATATATTTAAGCCAAATGTATATAGTTCAACCAATGAGGTAGCTTTCTTTTTGCCCAGCATCATGATAAACAGGTGAACTGAGGCCCCATCTTTGACCCGTGAAAGCCCCTTCGAATTGGGTTCTGATTCCTTTTGAACAATCTACTGATGTCTCACAGTTTCCCTGCTTTCTGGTGCAGGCTCACCTTGGACATTCCTGCCCCACCACGGAATCCACATCCCTCCACGAAGCCCCCGATCCTTCTTTTGGGAAATGGCCGTTAGAGACACGGCGTAGGTACGGGGGACCCTTGGGGTTTGGAGTGTAGACTTGACTTGAGCAGTGACGTGGAGAATTACCATTGCTTTTCTCTCCAGATGATATGCTGATATCATGATGCTTTTATTCTGCTGCCCTGTTCATGTCTGCTCCATGATTCTAAATTAACATCTACCTAGTTAGTCACTATTATTTTTTTATGGTGGATTATTTTTATTGTGGTAAAGACATCTAACGTCAAACTTACCCTCTTAACCATCGTTAAATACACACTTGTATTAGGTGTATTCACATAGTTGTGAAACAGATCTCCAGAACGTTTCATCTTGCCAGATTAAGACTCTATACCATTCAAATTACAACCTTCCTTTTCACTCTCCGGTAGCCTCTGGTAACAGCCATTCTAACTTCCTCTTTAAATTTGACCACCGTAGGAGCCTCGTGTAAATGAGCCATCAAGCGTTTGTCTTCTTGTGGCAGGTTTATTCCACATAGCATAACGTCCTCAGGGTTCCCAGTGATTTATATGTGTCAGAATTACCTTCCTTTTCAAGGCTGAATAGTATTCTGCCCAATGTACGGATCACATCTTACTTGTCTATTTATCTATTCAGCTGCCGATAGACACTTGTGTGGCTCCTACCTCCAGCTATTGAAATATGGGTAAGCAGATACCTTTGACATCCTGCTTTCAATTCTTTTGAGCGCATTAGGTAATTCTGTGTTTAATTTTTTGAGAAGCCATCATACTGTTTTCATAGCCGCGCCCAGCTGTGAGCAGAGCTCCAGCATCTACATCCGCAGTCACACTTGTCACCGCCTGTATTTCTGATAGTTGCCTGACCTCTGTGGGGTGGGAGCTCACGGATTTGATTTGCACTTTGGTAGTGATTAATGACGTGGAACATTAGTCATTTTCTCAAGACATTTTCTATTTTCTTTGCTCACATGTTTCCTTACATTTCCACTCCTTTCTTCTGGGTTTAACTTCTTCTTCCTAACCTTGACTTTACCCAACACCGTGAAGATAGCTTTCTGTGCTTATGACTAAAGCTTTAGAGTCCTTTAGAGTGGCTGGACTTGATTTTGGTGTGAGGTGTGAAGTACGAGCTGGGGAGGCTTTTCTTTTTGTTAGGGGTATCCAGTTGTCACACCTGAGTAACCATTTTCCTTTTAATTCTCACAGTAAGTCCAGGAGGTTGAGACCAAAGCCTCTGTTGTCAGTTGGGGGACTCGGGCCCAGAGAGGTGCAGTACTTTGCTACTGATCATGGAGCTGGCAAGTGCAGGACCAAGTTTTGGACCCAGATTTATTTGATTCCAAAACCAGGGCTTCCGCCTGCCACCCCACTCAGTCTCCACCCACAAAATACGTGGTATGAAGCAGGCATCAGTCCCTGCTCTACCGAGGAAAGGGGGGGCATGCACACGTGCTGGGGCACAGGGCCAGATGTGGGGAGACCGGCTGCTGCGGGAAGGGCGTCCTCTTGCCAGCACCGAGGCTGCTGGGCCACAAAATCTGCACCTTGGGCAGCTGAGGCAGGGGCAGGGCACACCGCTTCCTACGTGCACACACACGCGTGACAGCCGTTTCAGGCACTGGAGCTTCCCTCTCTGTGCCGGCTATCTCCAGGTACCGACCTTGGACCACACTTACAACTGACTCGGTTTCCTGTTAGGCCAGCAAATGCCAAGCCTGACCTTGTCCTTTATTATCCTGCTGGACTTCAGGTGTGGTAACCAGCACAGCCCAAGGCTTGGGTTCTAGAAGAAATACAGCTGGCATCAGAGGGACCCCACAGGGGTGGCCTGGTGAGATGCCTGTGCCTGGGCAGCCCGCTCCCATCTCCACAGCAGGGTGCTTGAGAGAGCTGAGCAGCGGGAGAGGGCATGGCCTGGCACTCTGGAGGCCAGGTACCGGAGGGGCAAGGCTGCCGAAGGGAAGGTGGCGGGTGGGCTATGGATGGGGAGCAGCCAGTGTCCAAGAGGGACCTCGCCGCTGAGGAGGCTCGGCCGGCAATGGTGGCGTGAGCAGAGGCAAGGGCCTCTGCAAGGGCCCACCACTCTGATTCCTGTCCTGGGCCAGCCCTGTGTTTTCACTCATGCATGACTACATTTACACCAGGCAAAACCTGACAGGAGGAGAGAGCAGTCTCCGACCCCTTCTTCCTGCTCCCAGCCCTGCTTCAGGTGGTTGAACCATCTTTGTCTTCCTTCACCAGCCACCTGTGAGCTGTTACTGCCCCCGACTCACCCACTCTAGTGCCATCTACCATGGCAGGCCAGAGACGGGCGTAGCTAGAACACATCCCACTGCTCCTGAGTTTGGGGGGAAACCCTGCCGCGCGGTCCCTCCCCGCTGCACACCCGAACCCCCGGCCAACTTGGGCAGCACAGTCCTCCCAGTCCTCTATGCTCCCTGCTCCCTGGACGTGGGCTGGTCTTGGTCTGTGGGCACCCGGCCCCCCAGTTTACCTGTGTGTGGGCCGCACACGCTCCTTGTGGTGAGGCCAGGGCAGGACGAGCATCTGGAGGCCTGAGGAAACAAAGAAACTCTCTGAGTGCCCCACAGCCCCACCCAAAGGCGGCGCCCACGGCCTCTCTGGCTGTAGGAGCTGCCGGGCAGCTGCCCCAAGCAGCAGCCACCCGCAGCCGCCCGCTCCGGAGTGTGGCGCAGCGGGGGTGGGGCCAGGCCCGGAGGTGGCGGCCAGCAGCCCCCCTCCCTCACCGAGCCCCGGCTCCCTGCCCGCAGGAGGTGTTCCGGCAGCACCGGGGCCTGCAGCTCCTGGCGCTGGTGGAGGAGGTGCTGCCCCGCCACGGCAGCGGCCGCCACGGGGACTGGCACATCTCCCTGAGCAAGCCCAGCGAGAAGGAGCAGCACCTTCTGATGGCCCTGGTGGGCGAGCAGGGTGAGCCAGGGTGTGCGCAGGGGCGGGCGGGGCTGGGTGCCGGCCGCCCAGGAGGGCAGCAGGGCGCAGGGCCACAGCGCAGGGAGGCTGCACGGCAGGGCTCGGGGCGCTCCGTGGCAGAAGGAGGTTCTGGGACTCCCCCTTTGAGTCGGGGGCACAGACAGCCGGGGTGCCCCGCACAGGGGAGGAGGCCGAGCAGGCAAAGGCGGGCGGGCGCGGGCAGCGCTGCGTGCGGCGAGCAGGACTGATGAGCCCCGCTAACGGGAGGCGCAGCGCGTGCGAGCCCGAGAGGCCTGTGCAGCTGGCCGTGGGCGCTCAGCGGGAGCCGTGGGGAGCGCCTCCGTAGCCAACGCAGACCTCACGACGGTTGGTGTCTCCCCCAGGGGTGGTGCCCACACAAGATGTCCTCTCCATGCTGGGCGACATCCGCAGGAGTCTGGTGGAGGTAAGCGCAGGCCTTCCCTTCGTCCAGCCCTAGGACAGGGCCTGCTGAGGGCAGGAGGCAGGCCGCGTCTCCTCGGGCCCCTCGGAAGGCCCACAGTGGAGAGTGGGGCAGGTGTGAACCCTAATACCAGCTGGGTGTCGGTGGTGGCAGGGTCGGGTAGGACGGTCAGGAGAGGACATGGTGGGGCCTCAGAGGGTGGATAATGGGAAAACGCCACATCTGACACGGAATTGCGCAGCAGCCTAGAGGGCTGGCAGAGCACGCTGCCTGTCAGGAAGCTCAGTGCCCGGAAGCAGGGGCACGGGTCGGGAGACATTCACCAGGTATTCCTGGGGTCGCCAGGGCGCCGCCTGCTGGGGGCCCCATCTAGAGAGGTGCCCTGACCGGCAGCCTGGCCCTTCTGGAGCAGGGGCTGTGGAGACAGGCTGGCCAGCCCCTGCCCCTGCTGCTGGGCCGGGCCCCTCCCGCGCCTCGTCCTCACCTCCCACTGTCCACGGCCCTCCCTTCACACCCACTGTCCACGGCCCTCCCTCCCCAGGGCCTGCCATACCTGCTGGCAGTGAGGAGAGGCCCCTCTGACACTGCCAGGCTGAGGTGGTTTCTGTGGTGGCTGGTTTATGATAAGCACACTCAGTGCTTACTGTCCCCCAGACTGCTGGGTTCTCTCAGCCCTCACTGATGATGAGCGCCCTAAGACTTCCTCATGAGTACTACTGGCACTCCAGTTAAGCTGCAAGCTGAAGCCCCAAGAAGGACGGGGGTGCCTGAGAAGCTCGTTCGTGAGCAGGAGAGGAGAGGCTGCGCTGGGCTGGAATCACCCAGAGGCGGGGCCTTGCACTGCGGTGCTCCTCTGAACCACCTGGTGGCCCTGTGGGCCTTTCTAGTTGTGTAATTCTGGGTGCACGGTCAGGGGCGGAGGCCAGTGACTGGTGGACGCTTGGGCTAGCCTTGACGTTTTTATACACACTCTCCTTTCTCTTCTTCTGACCCCTGGCCATTCTGGCTCTACTGGACATCCAGTAAAGGCTGATTTGGCCAAAAGGTACACTGGGCCTTCAGAAGTATCTTAGGGGTAAATTTTGTCAATTCAAGTAAGAAAAACTGACCCTCAATAACTTTAAATGTCAACAGGAAAAAAAAAAAGGTACTGGGAATACATGTGCGCTTCACAGAAGCCAAAGAAGAGCCGAATACCTGCCTCAGAAGGGGGCACCCAAGGCAGAAAGGGCACCCCCGGCCTCTCACCAGGAGCCAGTAGTGCACCTTCACCCTGTCGCCTGTCATTTGATGACGGCCCTGCGTGCCCACACTGCCCTCCTGAGCGGAGGGAGCGCCTGGCCCTGCGGGGCATAGTGGTCTCCGGCCACCCAAGATGAGCTGTGCGCTCGGGACACTGCAGTGGGAAGAGGGGGCTGGGAGGTTCGGGGTGGCCCATGACGCCGTCCCCGGGCCCCACGTCTCTGTCTCCCTGCACTGTCTTCTGGTCCTTCATGGGCAGTGATCCCAGCGGCTCCTGCCCCCAGGGAGCCCCAGTGCTTCAGGGGCCTGACTCCTGGGAGGCCACCGGAGAGTTCACAGCGCCCCCACTGGTCTTGCTTACAAGGGAGAGGACAGGTGTGGGTGCTTCCTAGTGTGGTCACGCCCCAGCAGCCGGCTGCATCCAGAGCCAGGCTTCTGCTCCGCAGGGTCAGGGTGGGGCAGAGCCCCGAGGGGAGGGAGGGGAGGCTGGGGTAGAGGTGAGAGGCGAAAGGGGTGGGGAGAGGCAACGTCCCTGACGGCACAGTCGGGCCTCTGAGGGGGCTTCCGGAGCTAGGGTCATGCCAGCTCAAAGCCTGTGCCATGTCTGAGCCCCCACCTCACCAGCCTGGTGGAGCCCTGGCACCCAGGAACCTGGACCCTTCCCCCACCCCAGATTGGCATCCAGAACTACTCTACCACAAGCAGCTGCCAGGCGCAGGCCAGCCAGGTGCGCAGCGACTACGGGACGCTCTTTGTGGTGCTGGTGGTCATCGGCGCCATCTGCGTGGTCATCATCGTGCTGGGCCTGCTCTACAACTGCTGGCAGCGCCGGCTGCCCAAACTGAAACACGTGGTGAGCCTGACGGCGCGAGGCCTGGGGCCTGGGCTGGGTGGTGTGTGGCAGGCGCAGCCACCAGAGCCGGGGTCCCCCAGCGTGGGGGCTTGCAGCGAAGGGCCTGGCGTGGAAGGCAAGCCCTGATCCTGAGCTGGGCGCCAACTGCCCCTCTGCCCGGAACCACTGCTGACGGGCTGGAGGTGCAGGGCTGGCCCCAGCTTCCCTGGATGCCACAGAGAGGGCCTGGGTGCCTGGAGGGTCAAGAGGAGGCTCAGGCAACCTGGCGGTTTACTCCTAAAGGAGAGGGCAGGGGCAGGTCCTAAAGTGCCAGGCAGCTCCTGGTGCTGGGAGGGACGGGAAGACGGGAGGGAAGCCACAGGGCTCGGCGATATTATCTTAAGGAGGGTGCTGAGCTGGGGTACAGAAGGGAACTGAGGGAAGGCACCTTTAAGTGACTCGTTCAAGGTCATGGGCTGTTGGCAAGGGCAAGAGGCCTGGAGCCTGCACCTGCAGGGGCGGGTGGGGGGCGCAGGCAGCCGCTGCCCACCCAGCAGCCCTCTCGTCGCCCCCTATCCCCCCCACCCCACCCCAGTCGCACGGCGAGGAGCTGCGCTTCGTGGAGAACGGCTGCCACGACAACCCCACGCTGGACGTGGCCAGCGACAGCCAGTCGGAGATGCAGGAGAAGCAGCCCAGCCTGAACGGCGGCGGGGCTGTCAACGGCCCGGGGGGCTGGGGCGCGCTCATGGCGGGCAAGCGGGACCCAGAGGACTCGGACGTGTTCGAGGAGGATACGCACCTGTGAGGGCTCCGGCAGCT